GACAGGGATGCGTTCAGAAGGGCCATTAGCCCAAGATCCCCGTCCTCCGTTTCCTATATGATGCCCATCCCTTCTTTTCAAGCCCGTCCATTCCTAATGGCTTATATTTTTTGGGACGGACCAGGAGGATGGAGGGACGGATATCAGGGAGGTGCACGGTGCGGGGACTAGAATTTGTGTCTTGACAGAACAGACAGACACGCAGTTCGCGTATTTTAAGTGATTAAAGTCGCCGTCCAGCCGTCCTCGGGTTTAAAGGAGTCAGCAAAATGGTCGAACATCGAACTACTTCCGTAGGAACTTCATTTTAGATTATGACAAATGGCCTCTAGTTAGCCACAGTTTAAGCGTCAAAGGTACGGGAATGGACTGAACGCCTGCCCGCTAATGTTGCTCTGTTAGCCCCTGTGGATGCAGGACCGGTCAATGCAAAAATATGCCAGAAACACTGGTTTGACAAGTAAGCTATTCCAAAATGATCTCTGCCCTAGCACCAGGCCATTTAAAGGGACGGTAGCAGCACAAAAAGCAACGCCAACGAACCCATAATCCGAAGTCTTTTTGGGGCGCCACCCTCTTGCCCTATGGCCTTATGATATGGAGGGTAGTGGGAGGATTTTTTCGGGGGATGGACCGTGGGAGAATTTTTGACAGGATTGGTCCCTAGACCCACCAAAAAGGGCACCGTATCAGCCTGACTTGGGGTCCAGACGAGATCAGGGGTGGAGGTCGCCATTTGAATCCCTTTTAAGGGGGCTGGAAGAAGACAAGAATTTGGCAAAAAAATTATGGACGTAAAAATTTTATTAGTATTTCGCTACGGTACTCTGGTTTTGTTTTTAGTTTAAGCTACACTATTAGTAAAGTTGCGGGTTTAGAGTCCAAGAAATTCCAGATGACCTAAAATTTTTCCATGCTGTCGATCCTTCTTAATCCCCATAATTATAGCTGAGAAGTTCTCTGCGTCTCTTCTCCCCCTCTCCTCTCTCCCACTCTCCCTCTCTCCCTCTCTCTCTCTCTCTCTCTCTCTCTCCCTCTCTCTCTCTCTCTCTCCCACTCTCTCTCGCTATCTCTCTCTCGCTCGCGCTCCTCTCTCTTTGCTCTCCCTCTCTCTATCGAAAAGTTCTAATTTCTTCCCTATTTCGTGCCAAAAATGATGACTCACCAGCGTCCAATTTGGCCTCAACAGCCAACCCCTCCATCCACTCGTTATTCGGGGATTATGGGCCAATAAAAATGAGCACGAGGTTTGCGCTCCCGCTCGCGCTTTCAATAGTTTTACCGAAAAACTGCATAAATTCCGAAGTCGTTCGATATGTCACTATTAGTGCGTCTACTTGCGATTACTTGTGTATTCCTGGCAGTATTTGCGGTCAGTTAAGAGATTTTTCGAGAGAGAGAGAGAGGGAAAGGGAGAGAGAGGGAGAGAAAGAGAGAGAGGGGAGGGAGAGAGAGAAGGAGAGAGAAAGACAGAGAGCGAGAGAGAGTGAGAGAGAGAGAGGGAGAGCCATTTACAGAAGCCCCACATCACCGAGGCGGAGAAGAATGCCTTCGTCAGCCACGTCAAAACCAACACGTGTGGGTACCACAATTTCATGACGTAATCAATTAGCTTTAGCCGGTCTGTACTTTGTCGACCTGAAAACGGATGCTAGCGATGAAGCCGAGGTAAGGACAACATCGCCAAAGTACACAAAAGTACCGTAATCCACCGTAAACCACATTTTTTTTCAAGGATTATTTACCTGGTCGTAACCCTCCTTTTTCCAGGACCAAGACACGAAGGCCAAGCGGGCCGTTGCTGATCCAGGTATATTTTAATAAGATTTTTTATCGTAGTTTTAGAACCTCCACGCGCCGCTCCAGAATCCGCGGAAGACGTCGACAGCTCGGAGGAGGTATTTGGGCCCAAAAATCGTACTGCAACATTTAGCCAGAACTAGACGCCGGTGAGCCCCAGCAATTCCACATGAGACTCGCCGAGATGGGCCAAGAATATTGATTTTCTCGGCTGTTTCGCTGAAGTTTTATTGTAATAAACGCGATATTTGAAGAGGAATTAGCAATATTTGGATTCCAACGCGAAAACTCGTCAGTTCTAGAAAAAAACAAAATTAAACTTTGAAAATGGTGTTACTTTTCGAAATTTTTTTGTTTTGATCGTCTACATTTTCAAGACGCTATTCAGCAGAGCATCAAAAAATGTACTGAGAGTTTTAATCACAGCTTAAAATAATGTATTAAAAAGTTATAAAAACAAACAAAAATAACCTAGTTTTCGATATTTTCTCTATTTGTTTATTTTTATTTTTTATTATTTACCATTTTACAGACACCATTCGATAGAGCATCAAAAACTATCCGAGACGTTTTAATTTTAGCTCAAAATAGCGTAAAATAAAACATTTACAGCCTAAAAAAGATTAATCCGTACGCGTCGCTCCCTTTTCACCACCACCCGCGCGGATCTGTTGATTTTCCACCCAGCAAATGACCTTTTCTATTTCTTGAGATAGCTGTGGGTGAGAAATGTTGTTGTCCAGCCCAGTTCTTTCCATTCAAAAAGGAGCCGGCAGCGAAATCTATTGGGAAGGGAAAACAGCATTGTTGTGTGTATCCAGCAGCGGTCAACGTGCAGGAAAATACAGTGCCCACCGCCCGCCATTCCGTCGCCATGTATCCTCACGTAACGCTGCTGCTGCTACCACTTTTCTGCTACGGTATTTATGCTGCAGATGAAGAGACGACTGTGAAATGCGTTGTTGGTAAGTCTAAAGGGGCCCCAAGGCGGATAGCCAATTTTATTCCTATGGATTTTGGCCTTGATTGTGACACGCGATGGACTTTGGTGGCCGTGGATTATGTATATATTTTTCCGCGCCGCGAAACGCCTTTAAATATACGCGCCGCCTTTAAAAAAGCGCTAAATTTGGCTATTTTTTGCGGTGTTGAAAATCCTTAAGCTACCAATTTTACGATTTTTGACCATAGTAATGCGGTCATTCAATACAGCGTAAAATTCTGATCAATATCAGCCAAGAAAAATTCCGTTCAACGTTGGTATCGCCCAAAAAAATGCTATTGAAACCGGGGTGAGATGCTTGTATCTAGGGCGAGACAGATCTAGCGCACTTTCTATTATATCCCCACTCCCATGGTCATGGTCGAAACGGTATTCCCGAATTTCCAGGCCGCGAACCGGGGCGCCCATGTGACGAGCCGGGAGCCCAAAAATTTTTCTTCGACGTCAAGCGCGGCATTTGTCAACCATTTTACTACAAGGTACATTATGGAAGACATTACAAAACCCTAGACGTTGATTTAGGGTTGCGGCGGGAACGAAAATCGCCACGATTCGAGGGCCGACTGCGAGAAGACGTGCAAGGGCTCCAAGCTGGCACCGGCGGCTCCTGTTGGTGAGTTCGGGGAGCGTAAGAGCCATTTTTTAAAGCAATATCCAAGAGTGGTAACAAAATGCCCAAAAAATTTCGAAAATCCCGTTGAAGTAGCCTCGAAAAAAGGCAAATATCGAAAAGTCTGCGACACAGAAAAGCTTTTAAGTCCTCCCCCGAACGACCAGAACCAGAACCGAAAGCTCACCAAAAAAGTTTGGGATCAAAGCCAAGGTCTAGAAATCGCACTCATGAAGCAGCTACTATGCCGCATGGGAACCAAAGTATCAAGGGTCAAAGCACAAACTCGAACAACTTCTTTATTCCATCCAACGACATAAACCACCCATGTTTATCACCAACACGACAAAAGGATTTCACAAAGACATTTGAAAATCGACACATTTTACATAAAATCACAGGCGAGCGGAACCAAGAGAATGAATTGGTGGACAATAAAGTGGAAGCGGTGGGCGAGCACGGAGATGTGTTAATTGTTGTTGTTGTTGTTGTTGTTGCATGTTTTTTGTTGGATGTAGCCGTGCAGATCCTTCCTCGTCTCCGCGAACTTGGAGTGGAGCGGGGAGAAGCGGCACTGAAGGCAACATAGTTGGAAGTTGCAAGAAAAGAGATTTTACCTCCATCCAATCCATGCACGTCGCGAAGACGAACAGGAATTGCTGCTCGGTCTGGACGGAGGAGGCCCGCTGGTCGCGCAGCTTCTTGAACATCTCGAACGGCTAAACAAGCGGAAATAATGGTTCTATAGAAGCACAATCATACGTCGAAAGACTCGTTCGCGGCGCAGGCCGTCTTCATCCAGTGGATCAGCATGATCGTTCCGGTGCGGCCGATGCCCGCGGAGCAGTGCATGACGGTCTGGCCCTTGTTCAACTCGTCGCCATGCTGAAGATGAATGCTTGCCAAAAACATGACATTTTTGAACCTTGTCCAAGGCACGCAGGAAACGGAGGAGATGGGGACCGGTGGTGGGGACGCCGCGATCCGGCCAGTCGTGCATCTGGATGAGCCTGGAAAAATCGAGTTCCCGCGAGTTCAAATTTAACTACATTTTAAGCGGGAAAATAACTACATTCGAAACTAAATAACTAAATAACTAAAAAAACTGATAACTAAATAAAGAAAAAGAAAAAATTTTTGGTAAATTGGAATTTTTGTCTAAAAAAGGCGGTTTTTGTTCGAAAAAAATAGATTTTTAACATTTTTTTTATGATAATCTACTTTACTAAAAAGTTCCCACCGAACAATCCGGCTGTTCGAGCACCCGTCCGGCAGCAGCTCGATGGTCAACGCCGTGAAGCCCTCCTGCTTCTCCTTTTTCTTGTTGTTGACGAAGAAACGGCCGTGGTTCTGGAAGAGGCCCGGCTCGTCCGGCCAATAGGCGGCGCACTGAAAAGGGGACAACGTTTCGAAATTGTGCGTGGTTCACACCTTGATCTTCCCGTCTTCGACCAGACGGCACAGCTGCACAATGTTCACGACCTCGTGCTCCCAACACATCCGCCAGAAGTCGACGATGGTGGCCTCGGTGGGGGCCTGGGTGGCGATCCACGTCTCGCGCTTGTCCATCTAGATATAAAATTTGCAGTAATTTTTTGAAGGTTTACCTTGACCCAATTGGCGTGGATGTAATCGCCCTCATTGGCTTCTTCCGGCGTGATCTTGACGCGGGTCTCATCCAGGCACACCGTGTCTTGGTAGCGGTTCTTGTCTGGGTTGGCGGTGAAGGCGGTGATTGCCTTGTTGGGGCCGGCGTACGGCTTCAGTTCGACCCACTTTGCACGAAGCCCGCTGGCGCCTAAATGAGTGGTGTTGCGAAGAAATGTCGAAAAGCCGAGAACATTGGGAATTGGAAGAGAATCTGCGGCTGCGCGGCCTCACAAAAAGAAAAAAAATCATTACAAACTCACAAAAAAGCATCGGAATAGATTTTCGATATTTTTGTCTCAAAAGATTCGTAATTTTTCGTGAAACATTTTAATATAGTTAGTTTTTGATTTTTCTATCAAATTTTCGAAATGAATTTGTTTGCAACAAAATTGGGGAGTTTCCGGGTTGGAAAGGACGAATTGCGCCGCCCGTGGACAGTTGAGCGTGCAGAGGAGCGCGTCGTAGTGTGTCGAAAGGTGTCGCACGTAGCCCACAGACGCTCATCGCCGGAATTCCGGAAACCCACCGAGGTCGACGATCAGCTTGAGCAGATCGCGCGCGGAATCGGTGGGCGGCGGCTTTGGCTTAGCTGGCGCTTTTTCCGGTTCTTCGGCCTTTTTCTCGGGTGTGGCGGGAGCTAAAATGGAATTATGAATAAGAGGAAAATCGCTGCCATGTCTGTATACTTTGCTTAAAAACCCTTCGTTTTTACCGATAGTGAAAAAGGCTAGCGGTATACTAGGCACGCAGATTCCCTCAAACATTGGTTTTTTACGCAAAAACGTGTAGCGTGGTGTAAAAACGTTGATTTTTACGCATAATTTTAACGTTGAAAAACTACGGAAAAAGAGCTTCTTTTTGAATATACGAGCGTCTGGAATTAGAATTGGAATCGCGCATCAATTATGAAAATTAAGAGATTCATGAAGTGTGGCTAGTAAGAGACAAAATAAGAGACAAAATGGCGAACCCGTCTCACGTGTCGGCACCTTGCGGCCTTGGGGCGTCGGGGGCTTCTTCGCCTCGGCGGATCCGTCGTCCTCCCTTGTTGCGTCCTGGTTCTTCGCCTTCTTCTTCTTGCTTTGCTTCGACTTCGGAGTCGGGGGAGCCATCCGGGAGCGCGACCGTCTTGACCGAGTTGGCGAAATCACGATAGCACCGGCGGGTTTCAGCCGCTTATGAACCGGGAAAGCCATGCAAATTTGGGCTGTTTTCCGTTATTTAATTGTGAAATATGCAAATATGCATATTTATTTTGCAAATATGCAAAATATGCAAAATAAATACGCAAATTCGGCAACTTTATCTGGGATTGAAGTTATGAACATCGAAATCATCGCCTGTTTTGGTTTTGTCCCCCACCCGCGGTGACACTTGGTGTCACTAAAATCGGATTTTCTCGGTGGAACTGCGATGGGCGTCCGGTCACTACCCCGAAAAGTCACTACCCCGAAAGTCACTACCCCGAAAAGTCACTACCCCGAAAAGTCACTACCCCGAAAAGTCATTACCCCGAAAAGTCACTACCCCGAAAAGTCACTACCCCGAAATAATTTGCATGATTTTCATAGGAAAACCGCATGAAAACTGGATTTTTCCGGGAAAAACAATGCTATCATTTTTCGGGGTAGTGACTTTCGGGGTAGTGACTTTTCGGGGTAATGACTTTTCGGCGTAGTGACTTTTCGGGGTAGTGACTTTTTCGGGGTAGTGACTTTCGGGGTAGTGACTTTACCCCCTGCGATGAAATTTATTTCTGAAAACTGGGTTTGGTAGCGCGTCAACTAATTTATATCCTCTCAAAAAAATCAGCCGGAAACTCCTTATTTTACAAAAGTTACAACCAAAAAACCGGCTTGTCCATGAGAAGTCATACGAGCGCCCGTTAGGACTTTATTTTATACTAGCGCCGCCTTTATACTTTATACTACTTTCGACTGATCATAACAAAACCTTTCCTTTCCTTTAACCATCATTTCAGCCCGATGCCCCGCCGGAAATCCCGCAGCAATGGATGACAAGGGAAAAACCCTAGAATGCTCGCAGTGCCCAAAGGGATATTCGTGTGAAAAGGACCTTTGTTGTGCGTCGAAAGGTATCGTTTGAACCTTAGCGTACAATTTCTGGAACAGCACACTAATAAACACCTCCATTTCTCTGTGTGGAGTTTCAGATAAAATTATGGATTCTAGAAAAAGCCTGCGAGGTGGAGTACGACTCTGGGAAGTATATGACTGGCCGGGCTCACATTCCAAAGTGAGTTCTTTTAAAGGGCCGAGCGAGCACGGCATGGCTATTGATTCGCTGATCTCTCTTTCTTCTCTCTCTCTCTCTCTCTCTCTCTCTCTCTATCATTCTATCTATCGCTCGCTCCTACACTCGTATAACGCTCTCTTTAAACTTTATGTATCGCTCGCTCCATCTCATTCTCGATCGCTCGTGCTCTATCTCAATCCCTATCGATCGTGCTCTATCTCATTCTCGATCACTGGTGCTCTATCTCAATCTCGCTACGGCATCTCTCGCTCGCTATCTTTCGGTCTCTCCCCTCTCTCTCTCTCACTATCTCTCCCTCTCGCTCTCTCTCGCTCTCTCTCGCTCACTCTCTCGCTTTTTCTATCACCACTCCTCACTCAATCGACAGCCTAGCAATAATGCGACTTCCAGATACTTCCACAGCAAGCAGCTCAGCACGTGTATCCTGTTCACCTACTACGGATCGATGGGAAATGCCAACAACTTTGACACCTTCCACCAATGCGAGCAGTTCTGTGCTAAATAATACGAATGAGAACCTGGTGTAGAATTAGAGGTGCTTGAATAAATAGCTTACGGGTTTTTTTCACTTTATCGAAGCTGATTTGATGTCACTGGGCCTTTAAAGGACATTTTTGCAGTGTTAGTAGGATTTAGAAAAAATTTTTAGTTCATTTTTGGCAGAACTCGATCACTTTGGGGTCGAAAAACCTAGATTTTTCTTGTTTTTTTTTGTAATTAAATTGTGTAATGTTTTTTGAGACTTTTAAGCGTATTAAGAACCCTTAGAAACGATGTTTCTATAAATCAGAAAATCTGGATCATAAAGATAATGCCCTCCCCCCCGATAATGCACAAGAACCGAAAACCCCCTTAAAAACGTGTTCTTTTTCTCACCACCAACCTCATAATCCCCCGAAGGCGCTAGACTTTCTGCTCCCGTGTGCACGCCCGTACAAGCGTAGCGTCGTGTAGTGGGTTTTGCACGCGCCCTGCTCTTCCTCTGCAACTTTTTGACCCCCGTGCAGACCATGTTTGCACTCAATGCCCCCTCCCCTGCAAAAAAGAGGAACACTTGAGTGGGGGAGCCGCCCGAATTTGGAAACTAGCGTAGCCTTTCTGTGTCCTGGCCGCGGCCCTCTCTCTCTCTCTCTCTCTCGCCTCTCTCGCCTCTCTCTTTCTCTCTCCCCAAGCTCCTCCCCCTGACCGTCGCAAAGCACAATGTTGAACGAAAAACCACTTGGACCCGTTGACCTCGCGTTGAGGGCTGGTTCTTTGATCCCCTCGAAAGCCTGGTTCCGCCTTTTTCAGCTGCTCCTCTAGAAAAACGCGTTGTCGGCATTTTTTTGCATTTTTTGTCTAGGTCGAGCTTAATCGATTCTGTCGGGATTTTGTCTGTCAGGATTATGGCTGTCGGCATTTCTGCCTGTCGTGGATTTTGTATTGTCGTTATTTTGACTGTTTGAATTTGATCTGCCAGGATCTTGGCTTTTCGGGATTACAGCTTTTGAGTATTTCCCTGTCGACATTCTTGTCGGGATTATTACTATCGGTATCATGGCTGTCGGGATTGTGGCTGTCGGTATTCTGGTTGTCAGGCTTTTCGGTTTCGAGATTTTCGCATGTCGTTATTTTGGCGTTTTCTTATTTTACGCTTTAACGATTACGACAGGTAATTCCCACCCCCACGCGATTTTTACTTCCCAAAAAACCTCGATATGCTAAAACATTGCAAATTCGAAGCCCAAAAATTGTCCCGCCGAAAGCTGAGTCTCCAATTTCCATCCGCCTCCACATTTCTGGGATCAATTTTCCATCGAATGACGCGGGTTTTGCTTTTTCGCATACAGTTTGGATTGCACTTTTTATTCCATTTTATTGCATCCTTTATGGTAAACAGGATCTACTGTCATATTTTCTGGGCTGATATATATTTCACCCGCTATAATCCGGTAGAGTGTACCCTTCTAACATCGCCCTTTTTTGTTTTTTGCCGATCACAACCAAATTGTATGCCCTGGGTAGTTTGTGCGGCGGCCATCTATTCATTTCCCGGGTATCGAGTGTCCGCTTCTTTTTCTTGAAAATTAGGAAATAGTAAAATACAATTTTGGTGTTGAAAAGCAATATTTTTTAGATATATTTCAATTGAAACCTTGAAATCCGAGAAAAGTTTAATAAAATCGCGATTTTTAGTATTTTTTCACCCTTTTTTGAATTAGTTAAGGCGTTCGGGAAAGGCTCCACTCGACTATTAATTCTGACTAGGTCTTGACAATGGCAAGAATCGTCCAAAATTGCATGCAAATTTTAATATCTGTATTTAGTTTTCAGTTTATGTTTTTTCCTTTTCGCAAGTTTTATTTAAAATTGTATTTAAGACTTATTAAAAACGAAGATCATGGCAATTAATGCATTACGGCGTCAAAATATTCGTTCGATTGTTTTTCACGGCCTCTACCATCAATTTAGTAACCGTTGTAACGACCTAAATTATGATAAGTAATACATTACGACACCAAATGCTACCATCAATTGCTTTTCAAGACTTTACGCTTCATTAATACTCGTTATAAAGACGCAGATTATCATAATTAATACATTACGACACGAAAATCGTGATTCTGGGCTTTTTTATCAAGTTTTTGGTATTAGCTACGTAGAAAACATACTGTATAAACCTAAAACGTTTTTATTATCCTCCATGAGTCTTTTGGTGCTTAAATGGTGTTTTTCACATTCCTCAGGGTGATTCCCTTACGCCGCTTAATAACAAAGGGCACCTACAAACGCTGTGTGGGACCCAAGGTCAGAAAGGTGGCCAAAATTCGAGTCGTTGTGTTGCACTTCGCCCGCGTGTCTTGGACAAATATTTCATTTTTTGAGGCGGGAAAGGAGGGGGAGAAGCTGAAGGAAGGAGCGGGCCGTTCTCTCTCTCTCTCTCTCTCTCTCTCTCTCTCTCAGACGACGAGCGGTGG